AAAAAAAAAAAAAAAAAAAAAAAATCATACGCACTTGTGATTTTACCATTTTCTCTCTCAGAATTCCTCAATGATTCCCACTGCCCAAAGCGTCAGATAAGCCTCCTTTGCTGCATTTGGGGCCCTCATCACTCTGGCTCACCTCATTGTCCCTTCCCTGCTCTAGCAAACCTGACTGTCATTTGGCTGCACCTGTGCTTCCCAGCCTGGGGCTTCTGTCCCAGCAGCCTCATGCCCTCTGCTCTATCTCCAATCTCAATGTTCTACCTACCCTTCAAAGTTCAGCTAATACATTTCTCCCTAGCAAAGACTTCCCAGAGCTTTCCATTCCATGGACATTTTTCTCCTCTAAATTCTCACAACACCTTAAACCCTGAACACAGCATTCACTAGAGAAAGGATAGTTATAAAAGGCTTATTTTCAAAGGATTGTAAATTTCTTGAAAACTCCTTGAATATTTCTGTAGTATTTAGCACAGTACCTTGCAAGAATGAGCTTGTATAGCTGAGTTTCAGAACAATTTTGATATGTTAACATAAAAAAAGAAAAAAAGGCAAAGCATGCTACAAGTTGGTAGCCAGCCAGTGTCTTTAAAATATGATTCTCCCTATAAAGGAAGCCAGGGCCTTATCTGTGGGTTCCTAATGTTGGGTATCCTAAGGCTTTTAACAGACAGCCAACGAGTAGCAGATATGAAGGAAGTGTTGTGATTTTTGCTCCAGTGAAATGTAACTAGAAATCAGAGACAAAGTTTAACATTTCTACAATGCTGAGGATTAACTTTTATTTACAGTAAAAGCTTAACTTATATATGAGAAGTTTTCAATACTGTATTTTGAATGAAGACTTATCAATCATAATAGACACTAGAATAGTACCTTTAGCTACAAAATAGTTGTTACAAAATCTTACAAAATATTCTCTGTGGTGGCCACCTCTTCGTAAAATTTTGTAATGACTATTTTGTAAATAAAGGTACATTTAGGTATAATTTCCCATTTTCCCTATGCATGGTGATTTGAATTTGGGGGTGGCTTTTGGGACACCATCTATAAGTAAAATTATAAAAGGCACTTCATAATCCCTAAACAGAAATGCTTATTGTTAGCATTTGGTTTTGGTTTTTGTTTTTTAAGCAAAAGGATAGAATTTATTGAAAGATAAAGAAATAGATAAGAAAAAGACAGAGAAGAGAACCTCTGGCAGGGGTGGAGTGGGGTTCTTGGGTTTGTAAGGAAATTTCGTTTGGTCCCTGAAAGATACTTTGGGTCAACTTCCCCTCCAGCCCTAATCTTACCTGGCGAGATATGCAGCACCTGGTTGTCTGGACCTCTGAGTATGACCCTCTGGCCAATAACCCTGGATGGAAAAAGAATGGTGCAGGCTTGATGGTGAATAGTCGATTTGGATTTGGCTTGCTAAATGCCAAGGCTCTGGTGGACTTAGCTGACCCCAAGATCTGGAGCAGTGTGCCTGAGAAGAGAGAGTGTGTTGTAAGGGACAACGACTTTGAGCCCAGGTAAGTGTCCCCAGGAGTTTCCAGCAAACGTTTGCTCATGGCACAATTTGATCGCAGTGTTGGCCACTCTGCTTAATTTTTTTCTCACCTGTTCTCCTGAAGTAGATGGAGGTAGAAATCACCAGTGTTGCTTGTGGGTCTCCATGGGGACCACTGAGAGACCAGAGATCTATAACTCATGTTAACACATCTGCATCTTCCTCTTGGAGCTCACCCAGCATGTGCCATTAAGTCCAAGGTGCACTGTTGTTTTATGTGCTTCTAAGAAAAAACATTGTCAGTTAAATTATGACCAAACATCATGTTTAAGATTCATTCCCAATTTGATGTTAAGCTATTTCTAAAAATTCATTTTAGGATTGATGAAATGCAATACGTGCCAACCAGTATCACCCAAGACTGACTTCCAATATCACCTCACTTCATGCCACCGAGACTACAACTCATGACCATCCTTCCATGAAGAACCCTTTATCACACTTGTTTACACAGGCTGCCTCTTGTCCACCATATCCAGCCACAGAAGCTAAATTTGCTATTGTTTTTCTTTCTTTTCCTTATTTCATATTCTCTCTCTCTCTTTCTTCCCTTGCCTCCCCCTCTCCCTCAAAACAGGGTCTTGTTTTGTTGCCCAGGCTGATCTTGAACTCCTGGGTCAAGAAATCCTCCTATCTCAGCCTCCCAAGTAGCTGGGACTACAGGCACCCACTGTGCCCAGTGTGTTATTTTTATCAAGACAACCAATAAAAATACTGAAAACCCACTCCCATAACATACCTTGAGGGTGGAAGGCCGAGGGGCATGCCTTAGGAAGCCCTTATAGACAAAATCACTTTTTCTTAAAAGAATCTTTTTGATGGGTCCAAAGCAAATCTGTTCAGATTCAATTCCACAGCAGGCAGCATTGTCTTGAAGGATTTGTGTTCCTTACCATTTTCATATGTGTGGAAATTGGTTTATACCAAATCCTCAGTTGGGCCCTGCTCAGAACAGAGACCACAACACGCCTAGCTGAGCATCTAGTTAAGGTGGGTGTGTGCACACGTGCATAGGTGCAAGGAAGAAGACCGAGGATTTATTCAGTGCTGATTCCTTCCGTGCGTTTAGAGCCCTGAAAGCTAATGGAGAAGTCATCATCGAAATTCCAACCACAGCTTGTGAAGGGCAAGGCAACGCTATCAAGTCCCTGGAGCACATACAGTTTGAAGCGACAATTGAGTACTCCCGCAGAGGAGACCTTCATGTCACACTTACTTCTGCAGCTGGTAAACTAAAAAAAACCTCTTCTACATCATTTGTTTAGATTTTTAAGTGTAAATTGAATGATTTCAAATCACTGATTGTCTTTGTTTACTCATGGGACTAATAGATATTTTCAAATCTTAAAAACATGCTTATTTTTCCTTTTGCTTAGAGTTAGGTCCTTCTCTGCCCTGATAATTCCCACTGATTCTTCAATAAGCTAAAAACTAGGCCCATTCAAATAATGCCAAATAACAAACTTCTCTGGCGCCAGTCTTTTCCAGCTGCGTTCACTTTTCCAGGTTACTAGTCTGTCATTCTTTTCTCTTAGGTAACACATTAGTGGAAGTAACTCTGATAATTGATTGATTAATGAAACTCACAGATGTAGTGCAACGTCCAAAGAGTCAGCTGAAAAGTAGGAATTCTAATCTCTAAGAAAAGGCTGAAAAGACTAATAAATGGAATAAAATGAATAAGTCCATTTAACACGATATATGGACTTTGGCTGTTTCCTGAGACGGTGCTAATACAGATGAGACAGTGGATGGGAAAGGCCTTGTGAACTATAAAACACAATCCAACCAGGAGGTTCTACTCTGATGCTCATAGGCCTTAGTAGGACTCCACTGGCTAAATTCAATTTCCATAGGTATATGTGAGGGAAAATGAGCCATCTCTATGATCTTCCTCCAGAAAGCGAATTTTTAGAGGTTTGGAGTAGGCTCTGTTTTAGAGTTATGCTTTCTAGATATTTTGAAATTGGCCTGAAATATCAGTAAAAATGCTTTTTTTCATTGATTGACCTATAGTTCATTTAACCCTTTCGCTTAGAAAGAAACATTATTTATTGATCTATCTAGTGTTTGGACTTGAAAATTTAGAGCTACTCCTAGTATTAGGTTTGACATGACAAGAGATCATATCATTGATAAATTAATTAATATTTGATTAAATAATCAGTGATAGGTATTGATAATTAGATAATGCATCAATTAATTTGATATCTAAATGATTATAGACTCAGGGACCTATTACATTTTCCAGATTTCCTCTTATACTTTAAAATGGTAGTTTCACTAAAATGTACTTTAGATCTTTGACTTCCTTTAATCCAACTTGTACATGTACTTCTCATTCAAATAACTTTTAGTCAACATAGTCGTTCATTATTCTTTCACAATATTTATTGAGGAAAGTTATACTATTTATTATTATATGCTAGGCAATGCGCTAAGTACTATAGATAAAACTATTAGTCTTTTCCCCTGTGAATGTCTTTTTCCTGGTCTTATACTGAAAAGGAAAATTAGGAGGACTGATTTCTCTGGGCTTTCATTTTCAATTATTAGCTGTTACAGCGTAACCTACTATCAGAGCTGCTAGGACATTCATTAACTGTGTTTGTCGTATGGAAATAGGAACCAGCACTGTACTGTTGGCTGAGAGAGAGCGGGACACGTCTTCTAATGGCTTTAAGAATTGGGATTTCATGTCCGTTCACACATGGGGAGAGAACCCCGTAGGTACCTGGACTTTGCGAATTTCAGACATAGTAAGTATAAATGAGAGGATAAAGAAATGTAAGTTTACTTTCGAACACTCTGAGGCACCTTTAAGGTTGATTTTATCATTCATTAGGGCCCTAAAAAAACTATAAAACTCCTTAGTAGAGGTAAAGGGAGATACACAGTATTTCAAACCCTGCCCAACTAGGTAGGCACCAGCCATACTATAAAAGGGAAAAAGTCATACTGATTAACAATGTGACAGACTATGGGACAAATCCAGGTTCTCCCACATCTGAATGTAGCCAGCCACTTGACCTATTCAGCCACCTAAATGATCAGCAAATACTCAGATACTCTGACACTCTGCCAGTGTCTTACCAGACTTTACCCCTGTGACCAGGCATTCTTAGAAGTATCCTGCCGTGCCACGTGGGCACAGCTTAATGTTAGGCAAGATCTTATTTCATACGACTCTTTCCCCCCCCCAGTTTTAGCCATGAAAACCAAAAAGCATTTCTCAGTTCCCTTTTGGTGCTTACTGACACTCTTTGACATCCCTCTGTCACTTTAATGGACAGTCACAAAAATAAAAGGAAAGAGAAGTATATGAGCAAAAAGTCAAATTAAATGAATTATTTGGTTTTGCATCATTTCTCCAGCATTCTCTTTGGGTGAGAGTATAAACGAGTGGTGTTTTGAGTCTGAGTTTCTCTGAAAGAAAGTGTGATAAGTATCAGAAGTATAGATTTCAGTGCTTAGATAACTTTTTAAAAACAAATTACTTTAAATTCTCGAAGATGTCAGTTAATTAATACAAATTCTATAGTCATTGCTATGTTTTTGTCTAAGGCTAGCTTTCTCCCAAAGACTGCAAAAGTCATGATTTAAAAATGGAAGTTGTAAAAAGTCCTGTTCTCGTAAAGAGAGCAAGAAAATGTTGTTAGTATGTTGTCCTGTTCTTGAACTTGGCCTCTATTCTTTCACTCTGTTTCACCATCAGGAAACTAAGAAAAACTGTTTACCAACATTTCATACCAAGTGTGCAAAATCTGACCCTACACTTTTAGATTAAAAAAAAAATACTTTAGGTTTTAGCACATTATTTATAACATAAATATGGACTCTCTGAAAATTATTGATCTTCCCACAAGTGTATAATTTTTAAGGGTGATTAACTCTTTGACCGCAAAGCACTTAGAAATGAAATGAACCAATTGGGGTGTGTAGTGATCACAACTACCCTCAGGTCTCATGGCACACTACTGGGCACTCTGTACCTTCTTAATAATCAAAATAATTCATTCAAGTTGGGCTCAGTTTCAATATTTTATATTTATAAAAAGTAATGTACAGATAAAAATTTAATATGAAACAATAAAGTTTTGCCATATTGAAATACACTGCACACTGTCGTTTTCCAAATCAGATTCTGAGGTACTCAACAGTTTACATTTTTTGTGAGAAGTATTTTGAAAGCTATCTTTATGTCCAAATTCTCCAATAATGATAATGATTGAGTCTTCTGAACTTGACAACTTTTCAAATTTGTGTTATACTCCATATTTATACAAACTCCCAGAAGAATCCACTATGTGTACAAATTATTTCAGGCACAAGTGTGAAAAATATTGAGAATGAAGCATTCTGGTACTTCCAGACTCAGGTCTGGTTACCTAACAGTAATGCCACATCAAAGTTTTGTTTGCAAAATGAACAACACCTACAGGCATCGTTCATATCAAATGTAAATCTCATTTGAAGGCCCATAGGCGTTCTTCGAAGTCAAAAGGTTAATATTGGAGGTGATTTATAATACTGCACAGAGACTTTTCCCAATGAAAAGTTTCCACAAATTGAGAACAGGGAATATAATTTTGTTTATAGAAGGTATAGTCAGCTTTTCAATAACACATCCAGTATGGAAAAGAACATTTATTTAGAGATATTTTTAATTAAATGCTTGATTATGAATCAACTAGCTATTAAATTGCCAAGCCAACAGGCTGTCAACTTTTATAGCAAGAAGGAATCTAGTGATTTCCTTTGACATAAATCTCTGCATATAAAATGCCTAGGAACTCAAAACTAGATTTTCACTATGAAATCCTTTTTAGATACAGTAGAACCTCCACAGTTGACCACCTCCCTACACAGCCTACCTCCTTCAGTTGACATCGTTTTCACAGACCAGACAGGCACCACACGTCTGTATTAGGCAGGCGGCCTAGGTCCTTATGTTGACCACCTCCATATGTTGATCAGTTTGTTACAGTCACTTGGGTGGTCAACTTATAGAGGTCCTACTGTATCTTGAATGAATTTATTTTGTATTATTGTAAACATCCACTGAAATATATGCTTATTTTTTAGTCTGGAAGAATGCAGAATGAAGGAAGGATTGTGAGCTGGAAGCTAATTTTGCACGGGACATCTTCACAGCCAGAACACATGAAACAGCCTCGTGTGTACACATCGTACAATACGGTTCAGAACGACAGGAGAGGGGTGGAGAAGATGGTGGACGTGAGGGAGGTGTGTGGCTCTGTTCTTGGTGTGCTTTTTTGGACTGTGGTGGACAGTGAGTGAGGGCCCATGGGGAGGAGGAGGGTGGTGGTGGGAATCTGTTCATTTGCTATAGTAGGAAACCTTATTTTTCCTTTGTTCTTTTATCCAGAATTTAGAAATTAAAATTAATGAACTCAATATTAAATCCCTTCACATGAATTTTCTCCCCTTATGACAGATATCAAATTGGAAAGCAAGCTGTTAACATTTGGATTACACTTAGTTTTTAAACATTTTTGTCATTATCTCATTTAACCTATAATCCCCATAACCTAGGAAAAATGGACACTAGTATGTCCATTTTGCAGAAAGAAAACCAAGGCTCAGGTGGTAAAATCATGTAGGCTTCCCTTACTAGTTTTCCTGAGATTTCTTGGTAACACCAAGGAGAACTATAGCATCACAGTTTCCCTGAGAATACGTGAGGGAATAGCTAAAGTAAGTTATTCACACTCCAGGGTCTGACCCTGCTGGGGCTGCTGGCTTCTCCCTGTCAGGTGGGGGAACCACACTTTATCTCTGTATTCCTTGGCCTCCTCCAGCACGGTGCCTCTGATGGAGTAGGGATGTGTTCAGAATTTCCAGAATGGCCTGCCTTAAATAGATCCAGTTCTGTGCTTGGTGTTTTGGAGGATAAAGAGACATGGTATTTACTCAAGAAATGTATAACCATGTGAAGGCTTCCACTCAGATTCTGGCTGCATTTACACTGTGCCAGGGCTTCCCTCCAAGGCCAGAGTCTCAGGGCCTCTGCTCGCAGTCGGAAGCAGGCTGGGCTTGTGAGTGGTTCTCTTGTTAGAATATTGAAGCGCTTCCACAGCGGTTGGCCAGAACTGGCTTCTCTGCACTTTCCAGTTTCCTCCTCCCTGCTCACTGCCTCAGTCTCTCCCCTGGCCCCTTCTTACCATTCAGGGCTTTAAAAGGGGTGATTCTGGCAGAGTAAGCCCTCTGGGAATCTTCTCCTTGCCCCCCACAACCTGTGGGAGCCTTCTGTACAGAGTTGTCAGATATCTTAATGTCCTCCTCTTCTCAAGATGGGCTCCCTGCAGTGGGCAACAGGGACGGATGCTAACACATCTCATTCAGTCCTCCAGACCCCCAGAATGGAGGTTCTCACCAGGATTTTATGAGTGGAGCCAAGGGAGATGGAAATGTTTGCCAAAGGTACTCAGCAGGTAGACAAGTGGGGCTGAATCCAATCATAGTCTGGGCTTCTACGTTGCCTCCAGGATGCCGGCAATGGGCACCGGCTGGGGCTGTGTCTGGTTCACTGAGCTATAAATACTGAGCCTTCTTTCCTGTGTGGGTGGCATTTTATGTTTTAGGAGCAGCCCAAACAAGAGGACCCTGATGAGAGACCCCTGGGGTCTGAAAGCCCCAGCAGTGGCCCGGTGGAGGGCAGGAGCGCTGACCCTATGGGTGGAGCTACATCCCAGGCCATGCTGCGGCTCCTGCAAAGCGCTTTCAGCAAAACCTTGCCACCACCGGTGCCAAGGAAGTTCCCAGGCACAAAGCTCAACATCCCTTATGAAAACCTCTATGAAGCCCTGGAAAAGCTGAACAATCCTTCCCAGCTCAAAGACTCTGATGACAGTCTATACCATGACTATGTTGATGTTTTCTATAACACAAAACCCTACAAACACAGAGATGACCGGCTGCTTCAGGCTTTGGTGGACATTCTGAATGAGGAAAGTTAAGGTGAGTGTGTGGCCCCAACTGGAAGCGTTCCTGCTTCTTTCTCTCCTGTAGATTTTGCCCATTTCTGAATAGCCGTTCTGTCCTTGATTCCTACACTTACAGTACTCCTGAGGGCATTTTTCTTTTTCTCCTCCAAACTGTCTATTTGAAGGGGCTGAGCTCAAGTAGGAGATCTAATTTCCAGAATTGACCATAGCTTTTTCCTACCATCAGAAGTGGAGTGTATTATTCTTTCTGTGCTCATGGCTGACAGCCCTCTTGCTACCTTAGAAAACCTCCTTGAATCCATTTCATTTCTCAAAAGCAAAGGGAAAACCTGGGCAATCAATTAATTTGATCAAGAAATCTGCAAAGAATGAGAGGGAGGGAAAACTTTCTGTAGTTTGTTTCCTGTCTTTGCCATGTAGTCAGATTTCGATGCCAAGAACACATTTGGCCTGCGTCTGTGTCTCAAAGGAGTGGGGCGCCGGCCTCAGCCAAAAACTGCAAAAAAAAAAACGCATTTAGAAAATTCCCAATGAAAGAGCTCATAATCAGACTTACTCTTTAGGCCTTTCTACTCCAAAGCACTACTTACCCCCACTGGCAGTCTCATTGTTTGTGGGGAAAGGCTGGATCACTTAGATCTACAAACAGTGTGTGGAATCTGCATTTCCTGGTCTGATTGGCATCCCAGAGATGCATCCGAGGCCCCAAAGGCAGCTGTGGCTCACTCTGAGTGCCGGTCTCTCCCTATAGTTAGTTCCTCTTCTTTGAGGCTTTCCCTTACTGTCTCCTTGCCCATCCATGAACTAAATATTGACAGAACACATTTATACTACTTTCTCAGAAAAAAACCTCAGACCCAGCAAATTCCTAGATAGGAATTTAACAATAACAACAGGAAAGCACTTATCACATGCAGGACCAGTGTAATAGCAGGAAAAAATTACAACAGGGAAAACCAAGGAGAGGCTTCATTGTTGTTTTTCTAAATTGTGTTCATTAGAACAAGTCGTTTCGGATCCTCTTTGAAACTGAACTTTCATTCTTTGACACTGAAAGATCTTCTCCAAACCAAATTGCTTCTGAACTTCAAAGCAGAAGGTATTACACAGCTGGCAGCCCACAGACCTGATTTTGTCTCTCAGGTAGATTTTTTCATTTGCGGAATGTTTTTTAAAAATGTGAGTGATAATTGAAAATATGAGATATCATATTTTAGACCCACCTTCCCTCAGCTGTCAGGAGCTGAGTGGTGGCTGTCCAGTCTCCATGGCACCAAGCTCCATGCTGCTTAGAATGGCCACTTGATTATGATTTCACTAAATCTGAGTGTACAAAGTGTAATTTCATTAGGACAAGAATTATTCTCAACTTCTGTTAGGTAGGATCTATGTACAGTAATAATTAGGAAAGTTTGCTATGTCACCTTTATAGGCAAAAAAAAAAAAGGTATTTTAGGCCCCCAAAGTACCTCTGAAATGTAGTTTGACTGCTCATTTGATCTCACCTCACCTGGATGCTCACTTATGCTAATTCATTCATTGCCAACCTCCAAGCTTCCCTCTCAATAAGCCCACACAGGCTCTAGCCACCTATAATTGCTGGCTTTCTCCCATTGAATTTGCTATTTGCAATTCTATCACGATGTTTAAACTTCATAAGGCCCCTCATGGCATTGAACTGGTTCAGGAAAGAGAATACTAGCCTATCTCTCACTTTGACTTGAAGTGTCGTTGGTGAGACAAACTTCCACCTGCTTTTCTGCTGTTGAATTTGTGCAGAAAGAGGGTATTTCAGGAGCAATACCTGTGGACACATGAAGACTGTTCTGAAATACATGTACTGTCTGTCTGTCCTTGGAAGTTTCACAGGTTTGATATAGATTTTTAATATGGCAGTGTGTCAAAAAGTGTCCAAGATGAAAAGGTCCAGAGAGTTATTAGGTTAGTTTCCAACCAAAAAACAAAGACACCAAGAAGTAGTGATAAATGAAAGGGTTGGATACCCTTTCCCCACTCCCTATTTAAGAATGTGTGAATGTATAAATGAATCTTTCTTTTTAATCCTTCCTAATAATACCTAATGTCCTAATAATCAACTCACTGAGTTGTAGCCAAAGGTTTACTCTTGAGAAGCTTTAATATTTCAACAAAATCATGTTTGAAGTCATGTTTGAATGTTTCCAACTTGGAGTATATTGTTCAGAGGTAAAACAATTTTGTCTGTCTTTCTTAGTGCCTACATGGAGTTTTGTGAAAATGTAAAAGAGGAAACATAATATTTCCCTTGGAATTTTAAACTATATTTTCTTTATAGGTATTTATTATATACCAATGCTTTCACCAAACAGAATTTTAAAAGGCATATTAAAGAGTATTAAAGAACTAGAAGTTTGCCTAAGAATGAGAAAGTTTCATCCAATAAAATATTTTTGAAGGACATTTTCCTCTGTCAATGAAAAAAATATATAATATGTATGTACTGTGATATTAAAAGTGACATTTGTCTAATGGCCTAATACAATGTGTAGCTAAGTTTAAAATGTGTGTTCTTAGAATTCTTATGGGAACTCTGACATTATACACTTGATGTATTGACCAGAATATGTAAAATATGTTTATAAATCAGAAGAATAAATGGTTCTTCGCTAAGTCAAAAAGAACAAAGTTCATGTTTCCAACAAACCCGGTATTTCCCTCTCTTACCATGTTTCCCAAAAGGACTATAAATAAAAGTTGGAAAGTTTACATTAAAAAATTAATTTATTTTTAAGAAAATGGGTTTTCTAGGAAGCAATTTCAGAGTCTACCTGAATCAGATGTTTTACTGTCCTCTGTAGCCCAGTCTTTCACCTTTTTGGCAACACACAAAGTTCTATATCTGAGCCTTATCTGAAATGTCAAGGGGAAAAAAAACTGAACTAAATTGACTTACTATGCATAAGAGAAATGATTCCAAACAGTTCACCAACATTACATAGAATATAGCATTGGCTCCAACCTTTTTGGCACCAAAGTTGGGTTTCATGGAAGATGATTTTTCTATGGACTAGGGCGGGGAGGTTGATATGAATCTCCTCAGCAATCAATTTATCATGGTCTCTGTGCAGTCAAACCTCTCTGCTAATGATAATCTGTATTTGCAGTTGCTCCCCAGAGCTAGTACCACCACCTGAGCTCTACCTCAGATCACCGGGTATTAGATTCTCATAAGGATATGCAACCTGGACCCCTTCCATGTACCGTTTAAGTGGGGTGTGAGCTGCTGTGAGAATCCAACATAAGTGACAGGAGATGCTATGAATCTAAAGAAGCTTCTCTTCCTCACCTCTGCTTACACCCTGCTGTGCAGCTGGCTCCTACCAGGCCACAGCCAGGACCAGCCTTAGGCCCCAGGGCTGAGGACCCAGTGTCATAGGACAGAGGACAGAAGCTGATCATCAGAATCTCCCAAGTACCAGCTTCAATCCTGTGCTCAGGCTCACTTTTCCCTCCTGCTTTTAACCTTCATCCCTGGACTCTCCACCCACCATTTCAAAATCTGACATTTCTCCCCCAGGGACTGTTTTTTTCCACATTGCTTTCTTCTAAGTCATATTCAGCCAAACTAGAATGAGCTTTCAGAAATTCTGGAATAGCTTCTAAGCAGGTTTTGATCTCCACATCCAGACATCTTCGTAATTTTTTCCATCAGAAAAAGGACGATATGTCCCTGTTTTATTTTTATTGATTAATTTATTGATTTGTTGACTACATGTATTTAAAATGTACAACACAATGTTGTGATGGATAATACATAGTGAAATTATCACTACAGTCAAGCAAATTAATTAGTGCATTCTTTCACGTAGTTACCTTTTTATTCTTTTTTTTTTTTTATGGTGAAAGCACTTAAATGCTATTCCCTCACCAAGTTTTAGTAGATATTGCTTTTTATCAGCTATATGCTCATACTATGCATCATTTCTAGACCTGTTTATCCTATACAACCCATTTCTCCCCACTCTTCCCCACCCCTGCCCACCACCATTCTCCTCTGTTCTATTTATTTGACTGAAACAAATTTCACACATTAATGAGATTACATAGTATTTTTCTTTCTGTGTTTGTTTATTTCAATTAGCATAACGTCCTCTAAGTTCATCCATGTTGCAAATGGCAGTATTTCCTGTTTAAGGGAGAATTATATTCATATTATATAATATTTATACACATACACACAGTGCCAAGAAATGTACACATATTTTAAGAAAGGAAAAAGCTATTAAAATTGTAATACTCAAGTTCACATTTTACTTCTGTAATTACAAGATACAATATACAAGATAACAAATGTGATCAGCATATATTAAATATTATAATTTTAATGCAGTTTTTTTCCTTTCTTAAAATGTGTGTACATTTTTTGGGACCCTTTCTCTCTCTCTCTCTGTGTGTGTGTGTGTGTGTATCACTATTTTGTTATCCATTTGCCCACTGATGGCCTCTCTTTTCTTCTGAATATTCATTGCTGGATTATCAACTACTGTATAAACTGTGAGTACAAACATAAATATACAAGGTCTGACAATTAAGTTCGCAAACTCATCCTAGAAAGAGTGCTACATACCTCATTGCTGAATTTCACTGTGGTCCCCTTTGAAGTGCTCCCCTAGGGAAACTATAGACCAACAGCAGTGCCTCATTCACCATTCAAAGCAATTTTGGAACTGTTTTTCTAGAATGGCCATCAAAGCTGTTGTCCTTTGATGTCCTCAATGTATCAAAGTCTTCCCTTCAGGATTTCTTGTATCTTCAGGTAAAGACAAAAGTCACTGGGTAAGTCATCAGGTAAGCAGGGAGAGTGTTCCAACAGAATTCTTTGTTTACTGGCTAAAAACTCCACTATCTATACAGTGCTGTGTGAGCCTGTGCTTTGTCATGATACAAGAGCCATGAGTTGTTGGCAAAAAGCTCAGGTTGTTTTCATCTAACTTTTTCTTTCTTTTTTTTTTTTTTTAAGAATGTACTTAACTTTATTTATTTATTTATTTTGCAGTTTTTGGCCAGGGCTGGGTTTGAACCCACCACCTCCTGCATATGGGGCTGGCACGCTACTACTCCTTTGAGCCACAGGCACTGCCGTCATCTAACTTTTTCACACAGTCTTTTTGTCAGTTCCAAATGGTCAATTTGGTTAACTGTTAGTCCATTTGGTATAAATTCATAATGAACAACCCCTCTGATATAAAAGGTTAGCAGCACCATTTTGGCTCTTGGGTTTGGCTGATTGAACTCTTTTGGTATTGAAGCATTGGCTGACTTCCACTATACACTTTGGTGCTTTGTTTCAAAGTCGTTTTGGTACACACATTTCATCACCAGTGATAACACACCCCAGAACATCATCGGCCTCTCCAAAAGGTCTTGGCACACTTTGACTCTCTTTTGCTTTTGTTCATTGGTGAGCTCC